TTAAATAAATTCAAAATTACAGATTTCCATCTGTATACTTTTAACGCAGCAAAAATTAGGAAATATCTAGATTCAGACAGATTTAGAAGATTTCATTTTATAAAAATTTAAATTCTTTAAAATATCTAGAATCCTCGGAGCCGTGAATATTCTCGAACTATCAAAGTTCCGCAATTGTTCGAAATTTTAGTTTCTATCGTGTCTAGAATATCTAGATTCTGTGGAATTTCCAAACCCACTAAAACAGTTTAGAATTTCGGGAATGTCAACAGTTTTGGTGTCTCTAAAATTGTACAATCTGCAAATTTCTAAATTTTTTGAATTTTCAAAATGTCTTTCATTTTTATGTTCTAGTGTTAGAAATCAGTGGAACAAGTTCACAGACCTCCAAATTTCTGGAAATCCGAAAACATTGACATTCTTCAGAATTTTAGGATCCTGAAAATATCTAGACATCTGAAATTTTGACAATCTCAATAAAATCCTTATCCTAGAAATTTGGTTGAACTCAATTTATAAAACCTCTAAACATTTAGAAACATAAATATTCAAAATTTCTAAAATAGTCTTATGTAGATTCTCAAATAAATTCAAAATTACAGATCTCCATCTGTATACTTTTAAGGCAGCAAAAATTAGGAAATATCTAGAGTCAGTCAGTTTTAGAAGATTTCATTTTATAAAAAATTTAAATTCTTAAAATATCTAGAATCCTGGGAGCCGTGAATATTCTAGAATTATCAAAGTTCCGCAATTGTTTGAAATTATAGTTTTTATCGTGTCTAGAATTTCTAGATTCTGTGGAATTTCCAAACCCACTAAAACAGTTTAGAATTTCGGGAATGTCAACGGTTTTAGTGTCTCTAAAATTGCACAATTTGCAAATTTTTAAATTTTTTGAATTTTCAAAATGTCTTGAATTTTTATTTTCTAATGTTAGAAATCAGTGAAACAAGTTCACAGACCTCCAAATTTCTGGAAATCCGAAAACATTTACATTCTTCGGAATTTTAGGATCTTGAAAATCTTTAGACATCTGAAATTTTGACAATCTCAATAAAATCCCTATCCTAGAAATTTGGTTGAACTTAATTTATAAAACCTCTAAACATTTAGAAACAGAAATATTCAAAATTTCTAAAATAGTCTTATGTAGATTCTTAAATAAATTCAAAATTACAGATCTCCATCTGTATACTTTTAAGGCAGCAAAAATTAGGAAATATCTAGAGTCAGTCAGATTTAGAAGATTTCATTTTATAAAAAATTTAAATTGTTTAAAATATCTAGAATCCTCGGCACCGTGAATATTCTAGAATTGTCAAAGTTCCGCAAATGTTTGAAATTTTAGTTTTTATCGTGTCTAGAATTTCTAGATTCTGTAGAATTTCCAAACCCACTAAAACAGTTTAGACTTTCGGGAATGTCAACAGTTTTAGTGTCTCTAAAATTCTACAATCTGCAAATTTCTAAATTTTTTGAATTTTCAAAATGTCTGGAATTTTTATTTTCTAGTGTTAGAAATCAGTGAAACAAGTTCACAGATCTCCAAATTTCTGGAAATCGGAAAACATTTACATCCTTCGGAATTTTAGGATCTTGAAAATCTTTAGACATCTGAAATTTTGACAATCTCAATAAAATTTCTATCTGAGAAATTTGGTTGATGTGTTTTTATAGAACCTCTAAACTTCTAGAAACAGAAATATTCAAAATTTCTAAAATAGTCTTATATAGATTCTTAAATAAATTCAAAATTACAGATCTCCATCTGCATACTTTTAACACAGCAAAAATTAAGAAAAATCTAGAATCAGTCAGATTTAGAAGATTTCATTCTATAAAAAATTTAAATTCTTTAAAATATCTAGAATCCTCGGAGCCGTGAATATTCTAGAATTGTCAATGTTCCGCAATCGTTCGAAATTTTAGTTTCTATCGTGTCTAGAATATCTAGATTCTGTGGAATTTCCAAACCCACTAAAATAGTTTAGAATTTCGGGAATGTCAACAGTTTTATTGTCTCTAAAATTGTACAATCTGCAAATTTCTAAATTTTTTGAAATTTCAAAATGTCTTGAATTTTTATGTTCTAGTGTTAGAAATCAGTGAAACAAGTTCACAGACCTCCAAATTTCTGGAAATCCGAAAACATTTACATCCTTCGGAATTTTAGGATCTTGAAAATATTTAGACATCTGAAATTTTGACAATCTCAATAAAATCCCTATCCTAGAAATTTAGTTGACTGAATTTATAGAACCTCTAAACTTCTAGAAACAGAAATATTCAAAATTTCTAAAATAGTCTTATGTAGATTCTTAAATAAATTCAAAATTACAGATCTCCATCTGTATACTTTTAACGCAGCAAAAATTAGGAAATATCTGGAGTCAGTCAGATTTAGAAGATTTCATTTTATAAAAAATTTACATTCTTTAAAATATCTAGAATCATGGGAGTCTTGAATATTCTAGAATTGTCAAAGTTCCGCAATTGTTCGAAATTTTAGTTTCTATCGTGTCTAGAATATCTAGATCCTGTGGAATTTCCAAACACACTAAAACAGTTTAGAATTTCGGGAATATCAACAGTTTTAGTGTCTCTAAAATTGTACAAACTCCAAATTTCTAAATTTTTTGAATTTTCAAATTGCCTTGAATTTTTATCTTCAGGTGTTAGAAATTGGTGAAACAAGTTCACAGACCTCGAAATTTCTGGAAATCCGAAAACATTTACATTCTTCAGAATTTTAGGATCTTGAAAATCTTTAGACATCTGAAATTTTGACAATCTCAATAAAATCCCTATCCTAGAAATTTAGTTGACTGAATTTATAGAACCTCTAAGCTTTTGGAAACAGAAATATTCAAAATTTCTAAAATAGTCTTATATAGATTCTTAAATAAATTCAAAATTATAGATCACCATCTGTATAGTTTTAACGCAGCAAAAATTAGGAAATATCTAGAGTCAGTCAGATTTAGAAGATTTCATTTTATAAAAAATTTAAATCTTTTAAAATATCTAGAATCCTCGGAGCCGTGAATATTCTAGAATTATCAAAGTTCTGCAATTGTTCGAAATTTTAGTTTCTATCATGTCTAGAATATCTAGATTCTGTGGAATTTTCAAACCTACTAGAACAGTTTAGAATTTCGGGAATGTCAACGGTTTTAGTGACTCTAAAATTCTACAATCTGCAAATTTCAAAATTTTTTGAATTTTCAAAATGTCTTGAATTGTTATGTTCTAGTGTTAGAAATCAATGAAACAAGTTCACAGATCTCCAAATTTCTGGAAATCCAGAAACATTTACATTCTTCGGAATTTTAGGCTTTTGAAAATCTTTAGACATCTGAAATTTTGACAATCTCAATAAAATCCCTATCCTAGAAATTTAGTTGAACTGAATTTATAGAACCTCTAAACTTTTAGAAGCAGAAATATTCAAAATTTCTAAAATAGTCTAATGTAGATTTTTAAAGAAATTCAAAATTACAGATCTCCAGCTGTATACTTTTAGCGCAGCAAAAATTAGGAAATATCTAGAGTCAGTCAAATTTAGAAGATTTCATTTTATGAAAAATTCAAATTCTTTAAAATATCTAGAATCTTCGGAGCCGTGAATATTCTAGAATTATCAAAGTTCTGCAATTGTTCGAAATTTTTGTTTCTATCGTGTTTAGAATATCTAGACTCAGTGGAATTTCCAAACCCACTAAAATAGTTTAGAATTTCGGGAATGGCAACAGTTTTAGTGTCTCTGAAATTGTACAATCTGCAAATTTCTAAATTTTTTGAATTTTCAAAACATCTTGAATTTTTATGTTCTAGTGTTAGAAATCAGTGAAACAAGTTCACAGACCTCCAAATTTCTGGAAATCCGAAAACCTTTACATTCTTCAGAATTTTACGATCTTGAAAATCTTTAGACATCTGAAATTTTGACAATCTCAATAAAATCCCTATCCTAGAAATTTGGTTGAACTGAATTTATAGAACCTCCAAACTTTTAGAAACAGAAATATTCAAAATTTCTAAAATAGTCTTATGTAGATGCTTAAATAAATTCAAAATTACAGACCTCCATCTGTATACTTTTAACGCAGCAAAAATTAGGAAATATCTAGAGTCAGTCAGATTTAGAAGATTTCATTTTATAAAAAATTTAAATTCTTTAAAATATCTAGAATCTTCGGAGCCGTGAATATTCTAGAATTGTCAAAGTGCAATTGTTCGAAATTTTAGTTTCTATCGTGTCTAGAATATCTAGATTCTGTGGAATTTCCAAACCCACTAAAACAGTTTAGAATTTCGGGAATGTCAACAATTTTAGTGTCTCTAAAATTGTACAATCTGCAAATTTCTAAATTTTTTGAATTTTCAAAACGTCTAGAAATTTTATGTTCTAGTGTCAGAAATCAGTGAAGCAAGTTCACAGACCTCCAAATTTCTGGAAATCCGAAAACATTAATTATTCAGAATTTTAGGTTCTTGAAAATCTTTAGACATCTGAAATTTTGACAATCTCAATAAAATCGTTATCCTAGAAATTTGGTTGAACTGAATTTATAGAACCTCTAAACTTTTAGAAACAGAAATATTCAAAATTTCTAAAATTATAGATAAAATATAAATTTTAGTAATTTGAATAATTGTAACTTTTATATTTCACACTATCAAGATAAAAACTAATTCAATGTTAATATTTTTGAGAAGAAATAAAAATCTATTTTTCAATGAATTTTCTTAATTCACTTTTTGATTTCACTTGTGAATCATGAATTTCTTATGAAAGTTACAGTGGAGTTAATAAAGTCAATTTAAGTTGTCAAAATGGAATACTAGTATATTATTATTGGTTGTCGAATGTAGTTTTTGAGAAAGACTGGGTTGTTTGAAACAAAAAATGAATTCATAGGTTTGTGGGGAAGATGCTGTAATTATTTAGGGGAATCACGAATGCACAAAAACATGTTTCTTAAGCTCATTTTTATTATTAATCATGTAGAGAAGGCATTTTGTAAAAACTTTGTTAATGGTCGTCAAATTTTCAGGCAGTTTTCGTCACACCTCGGAAGGACATTCGAAATGTACCACATGGAAACCCTGGAAGTTTTATTATTATTGTCATTATTACACTTACTTCAATTTACAAAGTAATGTTTTCTAACTACCGAGTCCATTTTTAAATTTGTCGTTAAATTTAAGTCCAATTCGACTGAGCTAGACGATATATTTCTGGAAGAATCATATGTTTGACCGAGACAGATGATTTTGAACGTACACAGATGGAGATCTTCTAATTTTGAATGTATTTAATAATCTAGATATTTCATAAATTTTGAACATTTCTATTTCCGAAAGTTTAGGGGTTCTATAAATTCTATTGAACAAAATTTGAGAATGCAGAAAAATGTGTGATTTCAAATTCAAGAATTCTAAAGAATTTCAGTGTTGGGAGCTTTCTAAAAATTGTATAAATTTAAAATTACTAAAAACGTTGTAAATTTTTAAGAGATTATTCTAGTGATTTTGTTTATTTCACAGACACTGTAGAGTTGTACTGATTTCTTAGTTTATGAAGATTCTAAGTCTCCTGAGATTTAAATATGAAATAGATCTTTAAAAATATATTTTTTTTAAATTCTATAATTTTAGATATCTCAAATGTTTTGTCTTTTTAGAAACTTCAGGACTTCAGAGGTGTTCAAAATTTTACAACTTGCTAAACACCAGATTTCGTAACCGAAATATTTTGAACTAGGCTCAAAATTTGTCAAATTAAGTTTTTACTTACGTCACTTGGAGCACTGTTGTGAGTCCCCGTTATCCTAACAAAGACCACAGCCCTCTCTTTAAAACGAAGATTCTGCCAAGACGTGCAATCTTGGTTCCGTAGATCAACCGCCATCTCCCAGTCTGAATTATTGACAGAAGTTTCAATAAAATATCTATAGCTTCTGCCATCTCGATCCCATAACAAGAGTCTCATTGTTGAAATCATGTATGGTTGAGCTACGAATTAGTATCTTTAAAAAACAAAAAGTGAAGTTTGTGATGAAGTACCGAGTTGTATGGTAAGATTTCCACTGCCTATGGTATGATAACAGTAGCCTTTCACCCCATCGTAGTCATGTGAATTACCATCCAGTAAAACGGAAGGATTTGTTCTTAGGAAATTGTAACATATTATGACTACTTTGCATACTCGTTTACTTACCCACTAATTACAATCGCTTTCTTGTCTAAAGTTGCAACATTATAATTTGGACTGATGATACCATTTGCGGTTGTAGGAACGTCACTTTTGAAATACGCTTCGAAAGATATGATGTGAAAAGCCTAAATAGAAAAAATCAAACGAGATATTTAAATACGATCTACGATCTTACTTTGTCGACGGTGTTATTCGTTCCTACGATTTTAACATACTGAGTAACCTGCTGATTAAAAAACAAAACTTGGTTGGAACGACAGCCAATGCGACTGTAGTCGATAACTCTTCTCCAATTCTTCTGATCAAGAGAAATCGAAATGTAATAAGAATAATAGCTGCAACGACTTTTATAAAAATTGTAAATAGTACTTTCGTACGTACCGATTATCCCCATCCCACAGTCTCATTTTGAAGTGGTTAACAAAAGATGGAGTACCAAGCTTCACAATAATTCCACTTTTACCGTCTATAAAGTGGTACGCAAAATTCCTTTCCACGGTTCCACCACCCGTCAACAACCAAGATGAATTTGTTCCAGAAATCACTTCAGATTTGTGTTGAACAGTCGCTAGATTTTCGTCCAAAACTTAAAACTCTCATTTTATTTTTATCTCGAATGTGGAGACAAATTCTTACGATAGAACCCTCTAGAACTAGAAAGTTTTGTTTTGACGCCAACGATCTCAGCAATGGCCTGGAGCAACTTTTCGCAGTCGAATAGTTTCGAAGGCCAGATTGTAGTTACGATGTCCACGACAGTCATCCACGATAAACGAACACACTGTATCACTAAATCATCAACATCGTTGTTAATTTTGCACCACTTAGCCACGCTTTTGAAAATTTCGATTTCGGGAGCAAAAAAAGTACTGCGTTCTAAAAGTTTAATCATCGATTTCTGTAACAAAAGTTCAATGTGAGTCAAAATTAACATTATTCTGGATTTACTTGAGACAGGTCGGTGAAACAGTCACTAGCAACGACTTCAGAGGCGTTAAGGTCCATGAAAGAATGACAGACTTGGAGCAGTTCTTCTAAATCGTATAGGTTGGCAGTGTTGAGGACGGCACAAACGTTTTGCAAATTTAGAAGGGGTTTTATTTTGTTGATGATGGCGCTTTGGAGGTCTGTGAATGAATATTGATGGGCAAGTCCTAGTATCTGAAGGGTTGAGTCAACATCGGAGGAAAGAGTGATGGTACCTGAAATTTTCAAATCAAGACGGTACTGTGGTAAAAAATGTGAACTACCTGTATAGATGTATTTCAACAAACTGCGCAAAGCGTCGAAAGTCACAGCGGTTATGGTTATTTCGGCCTAAAATTGTGATTTGAGTATTATATTGTAACAGCTGTTTAAATCTCGTACCTGGTTTGTGTTCTGCGAATCTTCGTAAAAGAGCGACTCGAAGTACTTGCTCCTCACTGCCAAAATCACCTAAAAGTGTGACAAATTTTTCGATAATTTAGGTCAAGAAATAGTAAACTAACCTTGTGAGCATAAAGCTTTTGGTCATCGACGAGCAAAGTAATATCAGAAAATTTCTGGTTGAGGTAGAGAGATGCGACATCTCCGAGTAACTTGGTGGTGTCTGTAACAGTCACAATTTCGTCACTTTTCACCATTTTGTTTCGATTTTGCAGAGTTGAACTGATGCTAAAGTACTGAATGTGGAAATATTCTTTCGGTTTATATAGGTAAAGCGAAATGATAAAGAGTGGAAGCTTAGTCACTTCGGTTAGCAGGCGGATTTTGAGGCACAAAAAACTTGAACATGTTATTGCTATATATATGAAAATACTCACACTTAATTAATTAATGCTAATGTGTTTCCAGTCGAAAATAAGAACACAAAAACTGTGTTTGTAAAAAATGTATTTAAAATGGTCAATATTCAGGAAAAAGATAATTAGTCTTGTAAACATTGGTTTTTTGCATATCTATCCGTCCTCTACTTAAAACAGATAATTTTCCTATTTTGTTAACAGTTAAAAACAAGCTCTTATGGAAAACATGTTTTTATTTTGTGCAGTGCGATACAAACGAGACACAAAATTAAAGGAACAAAATTACCACTTCCGCCAAGCTAGTAATTATATTTCTTTGTAGTATGTACATAACGATCCTCTAAAAAATTACTTTTTTCTGAGTTCTGATTACGCAACATTTGTTCCTTTATTATTTACAAGAATATATATTTTTGATATATGAATCGGAGTTGAGTTTTCACGCTAACCACATTTTTAGAAAAAGAATGTTTTGAAATCTTGGAAAGGTTTTAAAGTTTATCATAAAAAAACTACATCTGAAAACCAAATCTCATAATTTTTGGAAAAATTTGAATTTTGAGAACAACTTTTAAAACACAACGTCTCGTTTTTCCTTTTTCTTCGATTTTACAATCTTGTGAGAATTTTTCGTTTTTTCATTTTTCAATTTTTCTCTTCAATTTTTCACGTTCTCAATTTGTAGTTTTTCAATTTTTCAATTTCTTAATTTTTAATTTTTAGATCTTTCAGTTTCTGTTTTCTCATTTTTTCAAGTGAATCCTTGATTTTTGTTTTTAAATTTCCCGATTTTCTAATTTTCATTTTCTCGATTTTATATCACAATTTTTCGATGTTTCTGTCGAATTTATAATTTTTCATTTATTCGGTTTTTCAATTTTCAGTCTTCCATTTTTCAATTCCTCGATTTTTCAAGTTTTAAATTTTTCAACTTTGCAATTTTTGATATCCAGTTGTCCGATTTTCCAATTTATTTATTTTTCAATATTTCGTTTTTGTAATACGTGTTATATGCAGTTTTTTTATTTTTTTGTTTTTTAATTTTTAATGTTTAAATTTTTCAATTTTCGTTTCTTCAATTTTCCAAATTTTTGGTTTCTAACTTCTAGACGTTTAAACATTTTTTAAATTTTTTCATTTTTTTTATTCAATAAGTCGAAAAAGTGGAAAGAAGAAAAAACGAATTGTATCGCAAAATTATAGAATCAAAAATTCAAAAGCTAAATGTTGGAAATTCAAAAATTTTACATTGAATAAAAATTCTAAAATCCTAAAATGAATTACCCAAAAATTGAAAAGTTTTCAGCCTAGACAGCTATTTTTTTGGAAAAAGAATGCTCTAATATCTTGCAACGGTTTTAAAGTATGTCAAAAAAAAATTGCATCACCAAATCAAATCTTATAATTTTTCGAAAAAACTGGATTATTTACTTTCGAACAATTTTTTGAAATCACAACTTTCCGTTTTTCCTTTCCTTCGATTTTACAAATTTTTGATATCAGACTTGACTTCCAAATTTTTTTAATTTTTCTTTCTTTAGTCTTTCAGGCGAATTCTTGATTTTTACTTTATTTCATTTTCACGATTTTGTATCACAATTTTTTGTTTTTTCCTTTCCTTCATTTTCTCGATGTTTCTTTCGACCATATAATTTTCATTTTATTCAATTATTCAAATTTTCAGTCTTTGATTTTTCAGTTCATCGGTTTCCCAATTTTTAAATTTTTCAGTTTTGCAATTTTGGATTTCCAGTTGTCCAGTTTTGCAATTTCTTTAGTTTTCAACATTTCGATTTTACAGTACGTGTTTCGTTTTTTCCATTTTGCACTTTTTCAATTTCTCTTTTCTCCAGTTTTTCAAGCGAATTCTTGATTTCATTTTTAATTTTCCCAATTTTATCATTTTCTGGATTTTATATCACAATCTTTCGTTTTTCATTCCCTTTATTTTTTCAATGTTTATTTAGATTTGATAATTTTTCGTTGATTCAATTTTTCAATTTTTGGTCTTTGGTTTTTCAGTTCCTTCATTTTTCAAGTTTTAAATTTTTCAGTTTTGCGATTTTGTAGATCCAACTGTCCGATTTTCCAATTTATTTAAGTATCAATATTTCGATTTTACAATACGTATTTGCTTTTTTTTCTATTTTACAATTTCACGGCATTTTAGTTTCTCAATTTTTAATGTTTAGATTTTTCAATTTTCGTTTCTTCAATTTTCCAAGTTTTTGATTTGCAACTTTTAGATTTTTAAAAATTTTCATTTTATACCTTTTCCATTTTCATGTTCGATAAGCTGAAAAATTCTGGATTTTTTTACTTTGGAACAATTTTTTAAAGATATAACTTTTCGTGTCTCCTTTTTCTTCGATTTTACAATTTTTTGATATCAGAGTTTGTTGTTTTTTCATTTTTCAATTTTTCGAATTGCAATTTTTCATTTCTTGATTTTTCAGTTTCTCAGTTTTTATTTTTAGAGTTTTCAGTTTTCGTTTCCTCAGTTTTTCAGGTGAATTCTTGATTTTTATTTTTTATTTTCCTGATTTGTGATTTTAATTTTCACGATTTTATAGCACAGTGTTTCGTGTTTCATTATCTTTATTTTTTCAATCTTTCTTTCCATGTTTTTAATTTTCCAATTTTCAGTCTTTGATTTTTCAGTTCCTCGAGTTTCCAATCTTTAAAGTTTTCAGTTTTGCAATTTTGAATTTCCAACTGTCGGATTTTCGTATTTATTTATTGTTCAGAATTTCGATTTTAAAATACGTATTTTTGGTTTTTTCTATTTTACAATTTTTCGACTTTTGAGTTTCCCAATTTTTAATGATAGGTTTTTCAATTTTGGTTTCTTTAATTTTTTAAGTTTTTGATTTCCAGTGTGTAGATTTTTCAAAATTTTCATTTTATTCTTTTTAATACTTTATTTTGCAATCTCTCAATTTTTTATTCGATAAATTGAAAAATCGAAAAACTGGAAAGTGGGTAAGAGAAAAAGCGAATTGTATCCTAAAATTATAGAATCGTCAAAAACTGTAAAACAGCAACATTGAAGTATTGTAAAATTGAGAACAGAATAAATGAAGATATAAATCAAAAAACCAAAAATCTAAATGTTGGAAAATGAAAGAAAATAAAAACCGAATTAAAAATTTGGAAATTGAAAAATAAAAACCTGAAAACTCGTGAAACTGCAAATTTAAATGTTGAAATATCCAAAACTTAAAAAATTTTAAAATGAAAACTCGAAGAGGTGCATATCGCAAAACTAAAGGAAAAACATGAAGAATTGAAAAATTGCGAATCGAAAAATCGAAGAAACTGAAAATGAAAAAACAAAAAATTTTAAATTCGAAACATCGAAATATCAAAAAATTATAAAAATAACGAAAATAAAACCAGAAATGAAAAACTGCAAATAGAAAAATCTAAAAATTAAAAACGGAAAAGTCGAAAATTCTAAACCGACAAATTCCAAAGTCAATAAACTGAATCAACAAGAAAAAGAAAAATTTGAATATGCGCAAATTGAATAATTGAGGAAACGAAAAATTGTAAAATTAAAATTGGAGAAACAAAAAATTATAAAATCAAAACTTTGAAGCATCGAATAATTGAAAAAATAAAGAAAATAAAAACCCAAAATAAAACTTGCAAAATCTAAAAATTGACAAATTCAAAATTTAGAAAATTGAAAAACTAAAAAAATCGAAATTAGAAACAAAATAAATTGAAAATTGAAAAAATAGGTCAATTTACCACGCTCAAAAATGATTTGAAGTTAGAAGGGTGACTTCCAAGTTTTTCAATTTTCTTTTCTTCAATTTTCGTTTCCCTAGTTTTTCAAGTGAATTCTTGATTTTCTCGATTTTATGTCACAATTTGTCGTTTTCTTATTACGTTTGTTTTTTCAATGTTTCTTTAGATTTTATAATTTTTCGTTTAATCAGTTTTTCAATTTTCAGTCTTTGATTTTTCAGTTCATCAATTTCCCATTTTTAAAATTTTTCCATTTCACAATTTTGGATCTCCAGTTGTCCAGTTTTCCAATTTCTTAAATTTTCGACATTTAATTCTACAATACAATAGTTTCTCTAGTTTTAATGTCTAAATTTTTCACGTGTCGTTTCTTCAAATTTTCAAATTTTTGATTTCCAATTTTTAGGTTTTTAAGTCTTCATTTTATACTTTTTCGTTTTTTTAACTCTTATAATTCAATTTTACTGTTGCAATTTTTCAATATTTTTTATTCGACTAATTGGAAAATCGAAAAACTAAAAAATCTGAAACAATTGAAAAGTCGAAAAATTGGAAAGAAGAAAAAACGACTTGTCTTAAAAAACTGTAGAATCGTCGAAATTGTAAAGTCGTAAAAATGCTGGAAAATCCAGAAATCCAAAAACTAAAAAATTTCACATTGAAGAAGAGAAAAATGATAAAAACAGAAATTGAAGAACAGAAGTATCTAAAAGTAGAAAAATTAGAAAACCGAAATGAAAAACACTGAAAAATTGAGAAATTGAACATTGAAAATTGAAAAGTTGAAAAAATTTAAAATGAAAACTCGAAGAGTTGCATACCATAAAACTGAAGGATCAAAAAAAATTAAAAATTGGAAAATTGTATATTGAAAAATTGGAGAAACGAAAAATTGAAAAAATTGACAATGAAAAAGGAAAAAATTATAAATTCATAATATTGAAAATTCGAAAAATTTTAACTCGGAAAATTGCAAAATCAAAAAATTAAAGGAAATAAGTAAGTAAGATTATTAAAGCAAATTTTTATTTTCAAACTAATTAATCGTTTTACAGTATTTCTTCTGATTACAGACGAGCATCTTCAGGTTTCTTCTTTCATTCCTCAGGAGGACATTCAAAGTGAACAACGCGGAAACCCTTGAAACGAAGAAGGTAAAAACAAAAAATATATACGACTACAATTTAGATTAAAACACCCAGATAAACACTGTTCTACTTAGAAAAATAGTGTAAAACTCATTTCTTTTACTCACGTCTTTAGCCGAGTTACCAGTTCCAGTAATCCGAATGAAAACCATTGCTCTCTCTTTAAACACAAGATTTTGCCAAGAGTTACAATCTTCGTGCCTCCGATCCACAGCCAGTTCCCAGTTAGTCTTGTTAAGAGATGTTTCGATAAAATATCTGTAAGTTCTTTCATCTTTGCCCCATAGTAGCAGTTTCATTCTCGAAATCAAGTACGGTTGAGCTAAACAACGTTTTATAATTTAAAAAAAAAACACAAAATTGGATAGCTTTAAGTACCTAGTTGTATTGTAATGTTTCCTGAACCGATTTCGTGGTGAGTAAAACCTGCACTCTCATCGTAATTGCGGAAGTCTCCATTTAAAAGAACCGAAGGGTTTTCACTATTATATTAATTAGCACATTCGTTCACTGCTACTTACCCTGATATAACCCTAGCTACTTTTGGAGTGGCTACATTCTTGTCCGGACAGATAATGCCATTTGAAAATTTTGGGACAGTCGTCTTTAGGTACGTTTCAAATAATAGCAAATGGAACCACTAAAACACAAAAAGGAAACAATGTACTCAATACTGAATTGCCAGTGGTACAACTACAAGCTTACGGCGTTTACAGAATTGTGAGTTCCTTCTATTTTAATGTATTGGGCCACCTGCTGCTCAAAAAACAACACTTGGTGAGAATAACAACTTATGTGACTGTAATCGATGACTTTTCGCCACGTTTTTCCATCAAGAGAAACCGCGATGTAGTAAGAATAGTTACTGAAGAAAAAAAACACCTAGCCCAGTCTACAGTTTAGTTGATACACTTACCGTAGATCAGTGTCCCAAAATCTCATCTTGATATGATTAAAATACGAAGGTTTGCCAAGTTTGACAACAAGTGCATCCCTACCGTTAATATGGTGGGAAGCATGATAATCATATTCTATGCTTCCGGGTCCAGATAGAAGGTTATACGTTCCACCTCCCGAAATCATCTGCCCATTGCGTTGAAGTGTTGCGACATTCTCATCAACAACTTAAACTAAAAATTGCGAAAATGTCTTAGTAGTGCCGACTTACTTACCGTAAAAACCCCTAGCATTGGAACTCTTCTCTTTAAACCCAATGATTTCAGCAATCGCTTCTAATAGTTTTTCACAGTCGAATATTTTCGAACGCCACACTGTTGACACTATATCTTCAACAGTCATCCACGACAAACGAACACACTGTATGACTAAATCGTCAACGTCGTTGTTGATTTTGCACCACTTAGCCACGTTTTTGAAAATTTCGATTTCGGGAGCAAAAAAAGTACTGCGTTCTAAAAGTTTAATCATCGATTTCTGTAACAAAAGTTCAAAATGAGTCAAAATTGACATTATTCTGGATTTACTTGAGACAGGTCTGTGAAACAGTCGCTAGCAACGATTTCAGAGGCGTTCAGGTCCATGAAAGAATGGCAAGCTTCGAGCAGTTCTTCTGAATCGTAGAGGTTGGCAGTGTTGAGGACGGCGCAAATATTTTTCAAATTTAGAAGAAGTTTTAGTTTTTTGGTGATGGTAGTTTGGAGGTCTGTGAATGAATATTGATGGGCAAGTCCTAGTATCTGAAGGGATGAGTCAACATCGGAGGGAATGGTGATGGTACCTAAAATTTTCAAATTACCCGGGTTCTATTGTCAAAAGTGTGAACAACCTGTATAAATGTATTTTAACAAACTGCTCAAAGCGTCGAAAGTCACACCAGTTATGGCCATTTCGGCCTAAAATTGTGATTTGAGTATTATTTTGTAACTGTTTTAATCTCGTACCTGGTTTATGTTCTGCGAATCTTCGTAAAAGAGCGACTCGAAGTACTTGCTCCTCACGGCCAAAATCACCTAAAAGTATAACAAATTTTTCGATAATTTAGGTCAAGTGATAGTAAACTAACCTTGTGAGCATATAGCTTTTTGTCATCGACGAGCAGAGTAATATCTGAAAATTTCTGGTTCTGGTAGAGAGATGCGACATCACCGAGCAACTTGGTGGTGTCTGTAATGGTCACAGTTTCGTCACTTTTCACCATTTTATTTCGATTTTACAGAGTTGAACTGATGCTAAAGCACTGAATGTGGAAATACTCTTTTGGTTTATATAGGTAAAGTGAAATGATAAAGAGTGGTAGCTTAACCACTTCGGTTAGCAGGCGGATTTTTATGCACAAAAAACTTGAAAAATTTAAACAAAATTTACCGGGAAAAAAATTGTATATAAAATGGTCAGTAGAGAGGAAAAAGGTAATTAGTCTTGTACTTTTACAAATATTCTTTAAGAGATTGAAAAAAGCGAGGTAGGTACAAACATTTGCCTAACTATCCGTCCTCTAATTAAGACAGATAATTTTCATATTTTGCCAACAGTTAAAAACAAGCTCGAATGGAAAACATGTTTTTATTTTGTGCAGTGCGATAGAAACGAGACACAAAATTAAAGGAACAAAATTATCACTTCCGCCAAGCTAGTGATTATGTTTCTTTGTAACATTTATAATCCTGGAAAAAAATAATTTTTTCTTAGTTTTGATTAAGCAACATTTGTTCCTTTATTATTTACAAGAATGTATATATTTGATATATGAATCGGTGTTGAGTTTTCGCCCTAGACAGAAACATCTTTAGAAAAAGAATATCCTGAAATATTTGCAAATGTTTTAATGTTTGTCATAAAAAAAAATCCACTTGTAAAGTTAAATGTTATAATTTTTCGAAAAATCTGAATTTGTTAACTTGAGAACAATCTTTTGAAACACAGCTTCTCGTTTTTCCTTTGTCTTCGACTGTTTTTCGATGTTTCGATTTCATAATTTCTCGTTTTATTAACTCAATTTTTTCAATTTTTCGATTTGCAATTTTTCATTTTTCGATTTTTCAGGTTCTCAGTTTTATTTTTCCCAATTTTTTAATTTTCATTTTCTCTGTTTTATATCAGGTTTTGGTTTTTCGTTGCCTCCATTTTTTCAGTTCCTCAATTTTCCAAGTTTCAAAATTTTTGATTTTGCAATTTTGAAGATCCAACCGTCCAATTTTTTAATTGATTTAATTTCCAAAATTTCGATTTTACAATACGTATTTGGTTTTTTTTATTTTTCAATTTTTCGACTTTTTAGTTTCTCAATTTTTAATGTTTAAAATTTTCTATTTTCGTTTCTTCAATTTTCCAAGTTTTTGAATTGCAACTTTTAGATTCTTACAAATTTTCGTTTTATTATTTTTTTTATTCGATCAGTTGAAGAATGGAAAAACTAAAAACTCGGAAAAATAGAAAAACCGAAAAACTGCAAAAACGAAAAATTGCCAAATCGAATCGAATAAAAATAAAAATCCGAAAAGTTTTCAGCCTAGACAACCACGTTTTTAGAAAAAAAAATGCTCTGAAATCTTTCAAAAGTTTTAAAGTTTATCATACAAAAAAATTAAAAGCATAAGACCAAATCGTACAATTTTTAGATAAATCTGGATTTATTTAATTTCGAACAATTTTTTGAAATCACAACCTTTTTGTTTTTCCTTTTTCTTCGATTTTGCAATTTTTTGTTATCAGAATTTTTCGTTTTTTCTTCTTCTTTAATTTTTCAATTTTTCTATTTGTCGGTGTTACGATTTCATAATATTTCGGGTGACTTTAATTTTTCATTTTCCCGACTTGCAAATTGTTCAATTTTTTTTTCTTCAATTGTTCGATTTGCAATTTTTCATTTTTCGCGTTTTCAGTTTTTCAGTTTCTCAGTTTTTAATTATCCGATTTTCCAATTTTCGTTTCAAACGAATTCTTGACTTTTACTTTTATTTCATTATTTAGATTTAACGTCACAATTTTTTGTTTTCTCTTTTCTTTTATTTTTTCAATGTTTGTTTCGATCTTATAATTTTTCGTTTATTTGATTTTTGAAATTTTCGCCCTTTGATTTTTCAATTCATCGATTTTCCAATTATTAAATTTTTCAATTTTGCAATTTTATTTCGATTTTACAATACGCATTTCGTTGTTTCTACTTTGCACTTTTTCAGTTTTTCTTTCCTCCAATTTTCGAATTTTTCACTTTCTCAATTTTTAATTTTTCGATTTTTCAATTTCTCAATTTTTAATTTTTCGATATTTCAGTTTGCTTTTCCTCAGTTTTTCAAGTGAATTCTTTATTTCTTTTATTATTAATTTTCCCGATTTTTTCTTTCGATTTCATAATTTTTCGTTTATTCAATTTTTCAATTTTCAATCTTTGGTTTTTTTGTCCCTCAATTTTCCAAGTTTTAAATTTTTCAATTTTTCAATTTTGCAATTTTGGAGATCCAAATTTTTCGACTTTTTAGTTTCTCAATTTTTAATGTTTAGATTTTTCAATTTTCGTTTCTTCAGTTTTCCTGAATTGCAAGTTAAAAATCGAAAAACTAAAAATTCGAAAAACATTGGAAAAAGAACGGGGAATGCTCTGAAAACATACAAAGATTTTAAAGTTTATCATAAAAAAATTACATTCTCAAAATCAAATTTTATAATTTTTCGGAAAATCTAAATGTATTTACTTTCGAACAGTTTTTTGAAATCACGACTTCCGGTTTTACCTTTTTTCGATTTTACAATTTTTTGACATCAGAATTTTACGTGTTTCCATGTTTTTTAATTATTTTTCGATGTTTCGATTTCGTAATTTTTCTTTTTTTTAACGTTAATTTTTTCAGTTTCTGGACTTCCAAATTTTTCAAATTTTCTTTTCTTCAATTGTTCGATTTGCAATTTTTCATTTTTCGGTTTTTCAGTTTCTCAATTTTTAATTTTTCGATTTTTCAATTTTAATTTCCTCAGTTTTTCAAATGAATTCTGGATTTTTATTTTTATTTTGCTGATTTTTTTTACTTTCATTTTCTTGATTTTATATCAAAATTTTTCGTTTTTTCAATGTATGTTTCAATTTTCAGTGTTTGATTTTTCAATTCCTCGACTTTCCAATTTTTAAATTTTTCAAATTTGTAATTTTAGATTTTCAACTGTCGGATTTTCCAATTTATTTAATTTGCTGTATTTCGATTTTACAATACGTCTTTTTGGTTTTTTCTATTTTGCAATTTTTCGATTTTTGAGTTTCCCAAATTTTAATGATATATTTGTCAATTTTCGTTTCTTCAATTTATCAAATTTTTGATTTTCAATGTTCATATTTTTCAAAATTTTCGTTTCATTCTTTTTAATATTTTATTTTGCAATCTTTATATATTTTTTTCATTCGATAAGTTAAACACGAATAGTATCGTAAAATTATAATATCGCCAAAATTGTAAAATCGAAAAACTGTAAAACAGCAACACTGAAGTATTGCAAAATTGAGAATAGGATATATGAAGAAATAAATAAAAAAATTAACAATCTAAATGTCGAAAAATCGAAAAATTAAAAAATTTAACATTGAATAAAATTTACAAAATCAGAAATTGAAGAACCGATGTAATGAAAATAAAAAACCGAATAAAAAATTTGGAAATTGAAAGATTGAAAAACGAAAAATTGAAAACTCGTGAAACTGCAAATTTAAGAGTTTAAATATCCAAAAGAATAAATAAACAAACGAAAAACTGCAAACCGGAAATTGGAAAAAAATTAAAAATTATAGTCGAAAAACTCAACAATTAAAAATTGCAAATTCGAAAAATTTTAATTCGAAAAATTGCAAAATCAAAAAATTTAAGAAATAAGGAAAATAAAAAAATTGATAAATCACAAATTGAAAAATGAAGGAACGAGAAAATCCCAACAATAAAATAAAAAAAATATATATATAATCGAAACATTCAAAAACAAAACATTTGAAAAAATAAAGAAAATAAAACACTGAATTGAAAAATTGTAAAATTTAAAAATTGAAAGATTCAAAACTTGGAAAACTGGAAAAAACTCCTCGTTTTTCCGTTTTCTTCGATTTTACAATTTTTTGAAATGAGAATTTTTCGGTTTTTTTAGCTTCTTTGATTTTTCAATTTTTCTGTTTTTCGATGTTTCGAATTCATAATTTCTGGTTTCTTAATTTTAATTTTTTCAAATTCTCCTCTGATTTTTCCAATTTCTCAATTTTTAATTTATCGATCTTTCAGTTTTCGTTTCCCCAGTTTTTCAAGAGAATTCTTGATTTTTATTTTTAATTTTCCGGATTTTTTAATTTTCATTTGCTCGATTTTATATCACAATTTTTTAATTTTCATTTCCTTTATTTTTTCGATGTTTCTTTCGGTTCTATAATTTTTCGTTCTGAAAAAATTGAAAAAACGAAAAATTTTCAAATCGAAAAAATGAAAAAAAAAACCCGGATTCATGTATCGAAAATATATATTCTTGTAAATAATTAAGAAACAAATCTTGAGTAATCAAAACTGAGAAAAAGAATAATTTTTTCGAGAATTATACATGTTACAAAGAAACATAATCACTAGCTTGTCGGAAATGGTAATTTTTTTCTTTAATTTTGTGCCTCGTTTGTATCGCACTGCAGAAAATAAAAACATGTTTTCCATTCGAGCTTGTTTTTAACTGTTGACAAAATAGGAAAATTATCTGTCTTAAACAGAGGACGGATAGTTAGGCAAATGTTTGTACCTCGCATTTTTCAGTCTCTTAAACAATATTTGTAAAAGTACAAGACTAATTATCTTTTCCTCTCTACTGACCATTTTATATGGTTTCATCATTTTGATGATTTAGTGATACAGTGTGTTCGTTTATCATGGATGACTGTCGTGGACATAGTAACTACAATCTGGCCTTCGAAATTATTCGACTGTGAAAAGCTGTTACAAGCCATTTCCGAGATCGTTGGCGTCAAAACAAAACCTTCTAGTTCTAGAGGGTTCTATCGTAAGAATTTGTCTCCACATTCGGGATAAAAATAAAATGAGAGTTTTAAGTTTTGGACGAAAATCTAGCGACTGTTCGACACAAAGCTGAACAAATTCATCTTGGTTGTTGACGGGCGGGGGAAATGTGGAAAAGTTTGCGTACCACACTATAGACGGTAAAAGTGCAATTATTGTGAAGCTTGGTGCTCCATCTTTTGTTAATCACTTCAAAA